TCATCTGTCCTCACCTGTCTCCACCTGTCCTCACCTGTCTCCACCTGTCCTCACCTGTCTCCACACCTGTCCTCACCTGTCTTCACACCTGTCTCCACACCTGTCCTCACCTGTCTTCACACCTGTCTCCACACCTGTCCTCACATGTCTCAACCTATCCTCTGTCCAACCTATCATCTGTCCTCACCTGTCTCCACCTGTCCTCACCTGTCCTCACCTGTCCTCACCTGTCTTCACACCTGTCCTCACCTGTCATCACCTGTCCTCACCTGTCTCCACACCTGTCCTCACACGTCTCAACCTATCCTCTGTCCAACCTGTCATCTGTCCTCACCTGTCCCCACCTGTCTTCTGTCCTCACCTGTCTCACAGCACGTGTGTGTGGACTGTAAGAAGAACTACTGCAGCGGTTGCTCTGCCCAGCAGGAGCTCCGCCCCCGCCTCTGTCACACCTGTCAGCGTTTTTATGGGAACCTGCTGGAGAGGGCGGAGCTTATGAAGCTGAAGGTGAAGGAGCTCAGGGACTACCTGCACCTGCATGAGGTCTCCACTCACCTGTGCAGAGAGAAGGTGAAGTTAATGATGTCATTGTTTACAAACGCCAGCCAGTCAGGTGAGAGCCTCACCTTTAGCTGTCAGGCACAGTGGGGGAGGGGCTCAGTGCTGAACCTGAGTGTGGATTTTAACAGGTTCCAGAAGCAGGGCCACATCAGACCTGTTTTATCTGACCTGTTTTATCTGACCTGTTTTATCTGACCTGGTTTTCTGACCTGTTTTATCTGACTTGTTTTTCTGACCTGTTTTATCTGACTTGTTTTTTAGACCTTTTTTATCTGACCTGTTTTATCTGATCTGTTTTATCTGACCTGTTTTATCTGACTTGTTTTATCTGACCTGTTTTATCTGACCTGTTTTATCTGACTTGTTTTATCTGACCTTTTGTTTCTGACCTGTTTTATCTGACCTGTTTTATCTGACCTGTTTTATCTGACTTGTTTTATCTGACCTGTTTTATCTGACTTGTTTTTCTGACCTGTTTTATCTGACTTGTTTTTTAGACCTTTTTTATCTGACCTGTTTTATCTGATCTGTTTTATCTGACCTGTTTTATCTGACTTGTTTTATCTGACCTGTTTTATCTGACTTGTTTTTCTGACCTGTTTTATCTGACTTGTTTTTTAGACCTTTTTTTCTGACCTGTTTTATCTCACCTGTTTTATCTGACCTGTTTTATCTGACTTGTTTTATCTGACCTGTTGTATCTGACCTGGTTTATCTGACCTGATTTATCTGACCTGGTTTATCTGACTTGTTTTTTAGACCTTTTTTGTCTGACCTGTTTTATCTTACCTGTTTTATCTGACCTGGTTTTTCTGACCTGTTTTATCTGACTTGTTTTTCTGACCTGTTTTATCTGACTTGTTTTTAAGACCTTTTTTATCTGACCTGTTTTATCTGACCTGATTTATCTGACCTGGTTTATCTGACCTGATTTATCTGACCTGGTTTATCTGACTTGTTTTTTAGACCTTTTTTGTCTGACCTGTTTTATCTGACCTGTTTTATCTGAATTGTTTTTTAGACCTTTTTTATCTGACCTGTTTTATCTGACCTGTTTTATCTGACTTGTTTCTTATACCTTTTTTATCTGACCTGTTTTATCTGACCTGTTTTATCTGACTTGTTTTTTTAGACCTTTTTTATCTGACCTGGTTTATCTGACCTGGTTTATCTGACCTGGTTTATCTGACCTGTTTTATCTGACTTGTTTTTTAGACCTTTTTTATCTGACCTGTTTTATCTGACCTGTTTTATCTGACTTGTTTTTTAGACCTTTTTATCTGACCTGTTTTATCTGACTTGTTTTTTTAGACCTGGTTTATCTGACCTGGTTTATCTGACCTGGTTTATCTGACTTGTTTTTTAGACCTTTTTTGTCTGACCTGTTTTATCTGACCTGTTTTATCTGAATTGTTTTTTAGACCTTTTTTATCTGACCTGTTTTATCTGACCTGTTTTATCTGACTTGTTTCTTATACCTTTTTTATCTGACCTGTTTTATCTGACCTGTTTTTTCTGACATTTTTAGACCTTTTTTATCTGACCTGTTTTTATCTGACTTGTTTTTTTAGACCT